CCCGCGCAGCCTTGTGTTCGTCGGTCAGCATTCGGGGCACCCACCGTGAAGACACTTTCCGCATTTTCAGGTCTTCATGCAGGACGGTGTGCGCAGATCCCATGGAAATGCCCGCTTCGGAGGCGATATCTCTCACACCTAATCGGCGGTCCTCCATAACAATTTGCTCCACTCGCGCAAGCATGTTGTCGGTCCGGCTGGTTCGTGGCCGCGGCTGCTTCGGTTCGTTGTCACACGACGTTCGGCCTTCTTTGAACTGTCGCACCCACGAACGCACATTTTTCACATCTTTAACACCATCACAGCATGTCTCACTCAATTGACGATGAATTTCAATGGGTGTTACGCCCCGCAAGTGGAGAAAACGGATGATTACACGCTGTTCTTGTACACTGAACGTCGCCATTTTAAGTATTGAAAACGCTTCTCACTCGTGCGGCAGCTACAAGAACCCTGTGCGCTGTACGGTGCTGCCATCTCGTTCATGCATAAACAAAGAGTACCCGCGTATTTTAAGCTCAAACGCATGTTTCTTTCTGCACCCGGTCCCCAGAAAAAAATTAGGAGACCTTAGAACTTGAACGCACCTCGTAGAAAAGAGGTTCCCAACTTCCTTATATTTTTATTTACTAGCAGCACACTTTTAATCCCTTTAAAATTTCTTAGTGATCAGAGATGCGAGGGGGGTGTCGAGCAAAAATTTGCTGGGCGAAATTGGCGCTATTAGTGGCCCTTCGGTTAGGATGTGGGAAAAGAAGTTTCTTCATGTACTTCTCCCCTCGTAAAGCTCAAAACTTGAAGCATACTCGAGCTTAAGGCGCACTAATCGTTGTCGACCAACGAGGTGCCTGGAAATAAAAATGACGTTGCACAACTTTTTGTTACCTGCCGCAGGCGGATATCGTTTCCAGTCATCCGTACTCTCTCTTGTATTTTGACGTGAGAGACTTCAGGAGGCTTATACTTCTAAACAACAGAAATCAGTTTGTGGGGCGAAATCGGCATCAAATTGAAGCGGAAACTCTTTTGCAAAAAAGATAAAACTCTAATGAATGCCTTCTTCGGGTCTAAGGAGCCTTAAAAATTCTCGATGTTTCAAATTGTCCGGTGTTGGATTGAGGAATTCCTTAGCTCGACAAATTTTCTAGCCTTCTCTAAGTGAAGATGTCAGAATTGCATGCAATGCTGCACACGAATAGGTTTATTTTCTTAAGTTATTTAGTTTTTGCAAATGAAGGAGTGCACTCATCTCCATTTGCATAATTCTACTGTAATTGGAAAAAGAAAGTACAGATGCAACTTCGTTTCGCTGAAATTATTTCAACGCGTTACAAGTCCTTCAGAAAGCTGAAGCGAGACTCATGAATATAAATAATCAACTCCTCAAAAAAGGAAAATTATGCTTGATGCGGAAATTGACATTTATTTTAAAGGAGATCTGGATGAACCCGTTTCCTTCATTGATGCTGGGGCGGGCAGTCCACCAGGAATTGTTGGCAAAATGGTATATATAAATACAAAGGGGTTTATTTGTAAAGTATCCACGTTCGGACAGCAGAGGTGGGGACAGAGCCGTAAATATCCCATGTGGCCCCCCCCCCCCCTTCCCTGGCGTTTTCCCCGACTTGTGCCTACCAATCCTCCTAGAACTAGTACCTGCGTGTCCGCGTCCGAGTTTGCACGCCCTCCCTTTAAATGAATCTGAATGGCAAAGCCAAGTTGGCTTTTTTAAAATTCAAGTTTACGGAATAGTCATGAGCTCTTGAGTATTCCAAGAGTATTCATTGACACGCTCGCGAGTCTCCCTCTATAATATAGGGATATGGCCATATAGGTTAAAACAACCTGGAAAAAAGACCCCCAGAATTGTCAAAAGCTGAAAAAAGCCACCCGGGTGGTTGCTTCGTAATTATTCATTTCTCTATATTTATACATATAAGATAATTTAAAATTTTCACTTGGTGATGTTGAGATGCATTCACACAGGGATGTGGCTCATTATTATCCATGTTTTTAATATTTAAGGTGAATTTCCATCATTATTCAAGTCAAATATCACTGATTTTCGTTTCCATTTAGTATAAAACGATGGGAGATGCAAAGCATCGCTCGATTGGGAGCACTTCTTTAAATCTATAAAAAAAAGTTTATTTTCCTACTTTCATTATGAAGGGAAGAAGGACTGTTCAGCTATGAACATGGACTCATCTCAATGCAATGCTTGAACAGGCTTCGGGGGGGCGGGGGGGAAGCTAATCCTGACCCTCTCCACTCCCTGGAAAAAGGTATGAAAGTGGATAGCAGGGAGATAAAGTAAGAAACCTTACATGACCTTACATGAAGCAATTGTTATTTGAGAACAAATTCCAAGAACCATTCAGAGAGTGGAATCACCTCATCCTACAACACGACCACAATCAAAAGATTTCCTGCAAGGGGGGGGGTTGGCCATACTGTTCATTTTTAAGGAATGGGCTGAAGTTGGACTTGTTTTATTTTTCAGAGCATTTCAGTGAAGTTGATCAAATTACATGACATCAATTTCACTGAATGTTCCAAAAATGAAAGAGTCTTTAATCTGACCCCAACATAACGGGATGACACTTTCCTGCCTTTGCCAAATCTTGGGATCTTATTTCCGGGTGGCTTTTCCCCTAAACCCCTATAATTATAGCACAGCTTTCCTTGCTTTGCGAAACGAAAAAATGTCAAAACACATGATCAAAATCCACTTTCTTTGCTGCTTGATTTTATTTTCACTGCGCAACACTTTTTTTTTCTGTGCCTCATTCGCCTTTCGCTTGCTTCGCCCCCTCCCTTCTCGGCGCCCGGGGCAAGTGCCCCCCCTTATTTACGGCCCTGGGTGGGGATATCAACGTTGTCAATGCAAGTCGCATATTCTATTTCTCCTTCATTGAACGATGTACCTCGAGTTCATGTTTCTAAATTTGAAGAGAACGCGACCAAAACCCAAAATTTCACCGAATACAGCAAGTAGTTTCTTTTCCTGTTGGCATCACCATTTTGACTTGTTTGCAGGAGTAATTTTTTAGACGTTCAAATGGTAGGAGGCAATAAAATATGAAATGTACTGAAGAATTTACAAAAAATGTCAATTATGTGACACAATACAAGGAACATCCCATAGATGCAATTCTAAAACTTATCATGGTGAAATCTGTCCACTTATTCACCTAGGATTCGGTGCATGGGTCAAGAAAAGAGTTACACTTTCAGATACGAGGGATACTGCACCAACTACACTGTTAGTGAAATTGGTTAAGGTTCCAATCATGAAGGGAATCGAGATATACTGGATAAGGCAAAGAGCCATGCCGCTCTTTGAAAATTTGTGGCGCTTCTGAAACAGCAGCTAGAACGATAAAATTCCTTTCTTACACACCTCTACACATCCTTTGAGCACCCGAAAATGTTAGCCCATTATGTCAAGCCGTTTTCGCACACAAGTGATTTTACAAAAGCAAATGGAAATTAACTTTTGCACTCGCACCTGGACGCTGACGGGAGGACCTGCTCCACTCACTAAGAACAATTCCTTATGCCATTGCAATGCCTTATGACACCTACAGATGGGGGACCTCCTTTTTTGAGAGTCATTTTGTTGGTGAGATTCCATGGTAGTGCAAAGCTAGAATAGTCTGGATATTCTGATTGGATTCTGGATAGTCTGATTGGAAATGTAAAATTTGCATAACCATAAGCATAAATTCAATTCTTATGCAAAAATGTATCAAATGAAATTTCATTTTTTTTAGCCCTTTTAGCTCCAGCTTTGTTCCCAAATTATCAGATCTATAGCTTTGACTTAAAAAAAATGAACTGAGAAAAAACAAGACCAATACTTTTGATGCCTACATAGCCTACAGGCCACAAGGCACTGAGACTGCACAAATTGAGGATTGAGTAAAATTAACTTTTTCTTGCTTAATATAGCAAGATAAATCTTCATTAGATGAGATGAATGTATATGCTGAATTTAAGGGGTATACACTTACCTGAGCTTAGCAGCACTGGATTTACTGTACACCCTCCTCACTTTTACTCACCCTGCTAGTACCTACAACTTCCCCCTATCCTACATGCACACACATTGACATGGAAGCTTGAACTCACCAATTGTGATGCCAATACTCCTCCAATGTGGAAGCAACAGGAGAAAAAATGTTTTAGACTTACATTTTCAGCTCCAGAACAAATTGGACATTCAGGGTCCCTTGATACAGAACCTGTGCAGCTCGATGATTGTCAGCTCAGAGCAATTTGTTAATGGGAATGAGTGCTGATGAACATTTGGAGATAATCTACCTTGTTTTGGCAACTGATAGTAAGAGGTTCCTAAAACCTTTTGAGCATTGCACCTGGCAGTGAGCAAATCATCGGTAAAGTTTAAAGCTTTTTCAAGTGTTTATAACAAGCAAGGGACTAGATGCCCTAAAACTTCCATTGATGAGATAAAACTGACAGCAATGATGGTTAAATCTATAGCCAGTCTGAAGAAATCAATTCATTGCATCTCAGCAGAAATTTGTGAGCAGATCCAGTGTGTATCAAATTAAGCTGCTGAACACGTGGCATCCATACAAGCTTCAGCTGCTTCAAAAACAATGATCCTGAACACTGGGCTAAGTTCTGCAACTGGACACTAAATAAATTGAAGAATCATAACTAAAGAACATTTTCAGGGACAAGGCCAACTTTCGTGAGACAGGGTTATCTGATACTATGGGCACCAGATAATCTGCAATGGTCAGATCCATCCTAAGTGTAAGGGGAAGCTACACATCATGGTGTGAAGCAGGATCCTGAATGATAATCATAAGGTCTTTTCTTGGTTCCAGGAGACTGTCATAAGACATACAGCCTATGACAACTCACTTTTGTGACAACTTACACAATCCACTCTCCTTACTTTACCCAGATAATGCCTCAATTCACATTACAGTCCGGATACCAGATTCCAAATAACCAAATCTTTGAAATCCTGTTCCTCTAGTGTTCTTTATTCCATTCAATGAATGCTCAAAAAGTCTCCTTAGTAGAGCCTTTGAGGGGGGCCCATTGTGGACTTGATGTGCATCGAGCGAACATTCTGCCAGTGTTTCTTCAGCAAGGACACCAGGAAATTAATGGCCAAGTGAATGTTTTGCACAAGTTCATCGGGAGTCATCGTGACATGTCCCACAGCAACAGCAATGCACAACACCTGAAGCATTAAGAATGCACATGAAATCATCTTCAACACAAGATGATGAAGCCTAGTCCTACAGATTGATTCCCTCACCTTCTTCATCTGGAACTTGATGGTAGACTTGACCTCCTCAATCTTCTGCATGAGAGACTCTTGATGAGTCAGCAAAGTGGGAAATTTGCCTGCCTTGTTAAGTCCAGGCCCAAGGAGACGTGGAATCTGTCGGATCAGAGCTTCCGAAGCCAAGAATGCATCATATTTCTTTGCTGAAAGAACATAAACACTACATTACTCAGTTGTAGTAAATAAGAGAATGTCAAGCACAGATTACATAGCTTCTCAGTAATAGATTTTCATCAGTGATCACTATGCAGTTAATACATGCCATGTAAAAAGAACATCATTGAGGCATGGTCTTCCACTGGGAAAAACTATATTGATAAAATCAGCTTACCAAGTTTCTTCACAAGTTTCTTGTTCTTGTTTAGTTTCTTAAGAGCCTCAACATCCATTTGTGGGACAGAATTTGCCTTAGCTTCATCACAATGCTGTTCATCTCCAAGTACACACACTTGCATCTTAGGCCTGGGGATGTGCTTCAGTCTGTGATAGCAAGGGGAAAATCAGGGTAACTTGCAAAAGAAATCTAGGCTATGGGGAACTAAATAAGGGAATATTTGTCTGGAAGCTGTACAGAATATATAGGAACAGACTTTACCACAAATGACTGTCCTTGCATATAAATTTGGGTAACAAAGATTTGAAGCTGTAAATGCAGTTATTCATGCATAATTATATCATCTTTGACAAGTCTGCCCTAGTGAAGAGAGAATGAAGAGAACATGAGTAACTGAAACATAAAATAAAAGTTGTTGAAAATAACTTAAGCAACTATTTCATAATACATGAATTAATTCCATGGAATAACAACTGCACTATTGGACCTTTCAGCCAATATTTGAACTGATTTTAATGTTTTGCTACACACAGAAAATTGCAAATTGAATAAGCAAGCCTTCAACCCTTAATCACAGAAACCTCATCCTCAAATCTCAGGTGTTTGTCAGGCTGACATCATTACTTCCCCATGGAATGGAGTTACAAAGGCTATAAAAGCATACCAACATATAAAACAATTATGGGAAAATTCTGCAAGTCCAGAGCTCTTGTATCACCTTACCACATCCTTCAATCTTAGAGAAACTTGGTGATGGAAGTGGCAGGAGCCAAATCCACACCTACCCAGTTATTTTAAGACCCTGGGTTAAGGTCCGCCATGGATTACCATGACTTCCTGAACTCCACATAATGGCCACTGTCAAAAACAAGTCAGTGCCATTACAGTGAAGGCAGGCAAACATACTTGACTGTCCCAGAGAATCGCTTGTCTTTCTGGGGATCATAATTCTTCAATCCAATCTGGAGCTCCACAGTTTCAAGAAATTTCCTCTTCTTGACTTGGGAGTGGTGGAGCATGGCATTCACACACTCATACAAGGTCTCCTTTGACACTTTGGAGCTGCAAGACAAGAAAATCATGCCATGGAAGTCAACACTTGAACTTCTTCACATTCTCACATACTGGTGGTAGATTTAAAAGGAAGCTAAAAAAGCATCCAAGAAAGTATGTTATATACTTAGACAAAGCCAATTCAGTGCTTGAATAAGACTACCATCAGGAACTCAGGAATGGGCAGTGACTGCAAAGATAGCAGAGAGTGACCCATCCCTCTGAAGCATCATGTGACTGTGACACTTGGTACATGTATGTCTTTAATAATAATGAAGCAAATATAATTTCTCTGGATCCTTATAAACCATCCCCTGTATAAAATGACCAATGTTACTTGCATGAGGGATGAATTTAAGGTGGCTGCACCAGTTAAAGCCTACTCCAGACATTGTTCCTAGAACCTGAAAATGTTAATTCTCAAGGATAAAGTTTTTCTGGAGCATTGATTTCCATATTATAACAAGGATTGTAATAATTTTATAAATATTTGTGTTAATAAGTTTTTGTGTGCCACCCTGAAGATTCTACTCAAAACAGCATGCTGTATATCACAAGCTTTTAGCCAAACAAGTGGCATCCAGCTACTCCACAGCACATTTCTTGATGCATTACAGTTCAGCAGCTAGACATGCTGGATTGTTTTTTCTCCCAGTTAAGTATGCAGTTGAAGCATCCAACCTGTTGTACAGCATAAGTATGAACTAGGCCTAAGACCCAAACTTGTGCAGTTACAATTTTACGAATTTCAATACTCAACTCCTCATACGAAAATCATCAAAAAAGGCTCCCATCAGCTAATACAATGGTTGCCAGTATACCTACCATCACGAGTTTTCTGACCCATCAAACCTGTCTTATCTCTGCGAATACGTATGCATGGAATTTGCAATACCGCATCTTTTCCAGACCCCGACACGCCGAGACTACGGGACATCTCGGGTTGTCTAACGTTAACATTACGCTAACACCAACGATGAGCAAAACAACCCAGCTAAACTTTCTGAAGATGCTAGACATGAATCAACTTCTAGGCCATACTATCAAAAGTACTTTAGCGTGATATCAAGATATAAAAATGAGGATATTCAACAATTACCTCATTTTGATGAGAGGAGCAGCGAACCCGAAAAGACTTCAGCTGTCACCATCGGCGTGAGAGGAAATCGAACTACCTGACATCTGGTAAGCAAGACCCGAAACCAATGATCCCCACCGTCTCCATGTTTCAGAGCGACACCTAGTGACACATTTCACTAAAAGTAGTTTCAAAATTCCTCCATAGATAACTCTTTCAGCCTTTTTTTGCCCAAAGCTAGGTCCGCCAAGATAGTCAGCATGGTTCATTGGTAACCTAGAAAATTACCAGCTGGCCTCATCACGCTTGATGCTCCGCTGCCCTCGGCCCTGATCAACTATCCCTTCTCTTGGATCCAGTACAGTTCCAGTCCAAGAGAGATGGGACTTTTTCTTTGTATGGGAATTCTCAGAGGAACTCGGTGTATGTGCAGAGAAAAGACGGGACACACCCCTTTCTCCGATGAGTGAAAGGGTCTTTAATTGGACGGGATCCAGACTAGATACCGATTAAAAGAGTGAGCAAGTGAGCTTCTTGGCTTAGAAGGTGAGATTGACCTAGATTCGGCCTCTGAAAAAAGGAATCTTGTAAAGTCAGCGTGAAATGAATGGATGGATGAACGAATGAGTTGGTCTACGGAAATGGGGGAGGGGGAGAAGGGAAGAGAATAACCATTTTGGCCCTCATAAATATTTTATCATGTTACGTCTCTACCCGTCGTTCTTGACGGATAGTAATGAGGACCATCTCTTGCACTTCGTTCAGGGGCAATCAGTTTGATTCTCTTCGCATGAGGAGTTCCTCGAAGACGAGAGGACAGAACAAATTTTCGAATGATGTTCGCTGAGTCGGCATGACCGTTGTTGAGACTAACCCTCCTTTGAAGGGTTTGTTCAAAGTCCAGACAAAGTCTGACACTGTAAACCACGAACGAGATAACATCCTCCGGAACAACTTCTAACTCTTATCTCGAGGCCTTCCTGGGAGAACATCCAAGGATAGCGAGGGAATGAAAATGAGTGATTCCTCGAAAACAGGAACAGCGAGAAGTTTTTAGTCAGAAAATGAGAATTCCATGGTCGATATCGTCTGCTTTCTCTAAGAGAAAGCATACGACCATCTCATACCATCCATGACAAGCCTGTTCTGCTCATGAATATCAAATACTGAAAGGGTTTCAGCCCCTTCAGGTTCTCGAGGTGTTTTTTTTTTTTCGGGGAGCCGGTACTCCAGGTCGTTCCGGCAAATAATTTGTAGTTTTTTTTTTCATTTTTTCAATCTTCTCTTTCAATGGATATTGATGGTGTTCTGGGAATGAGCAAGAGAAGAGTATAATTCATACTTGTTAGTCTCATACTATTGCCTTTTTGCCTTGTGCTGTTACTAGTATGAGAGAACAAGTAGGCCTTGCCTAACCTTTGATCCGTGACAACCTCACGTTGACGCTTTCCCATGAGATGAATGGCTGCCTTACCATTAGCCTTAGGCCGGAGCGCGCCCAGGATTTGTGCTCGGGAAGGGTCCGCCCGTCAGAACCCTGTCCCTTCTGGCAAAAGCAGGTCTGGGAATGACGGGATCCGTGCCATCTGGACTCCGCTCCTCTCGGTGGACCCGCCGGCCTAGGCCTAGCTTATCAGCACTTTTTTTTTTCTTCTCCACGCTGGCTTTTCAAATTTCAAATTTATTCTATTTTGACTTCCGAGGCGAGAAAAACTTTAAAATCTTGGTAATGAAAAGAGACTTCTGGGATCATAAAAATACTACACTGGATTGAATTCGTACCCCCCCTCCCTGTAGGAGCGCTTCCATCGATTGCAGGTAGTGGCATCTTACACATGGATGGTTAAGTCCTGCTAAAGCGAAACCTCTGGAAATTAGTGCTTTCTCCATTCTCCACTGTAGGGGAGGTGGTACGAATTCAATCCGGAAACAGTGTAAGTCGAAAATAAACCGTTTTCAGCGTCAACATAAGACATTTTCCCAAGGCTTCCCAATCACGAGCATTTTAAAATAATCATTTTCAAGAATCTCATATTAGGGTGACCATACGTCCCGGTTTTTTCCTATCGCAGGAACTAGCACTCCGGCATTTTCTTGCAAATGTCCCGGTTTTTCCTTTAAAAAAAAAATCTGGTCATCGTATAGGCACGATGTCAAAAATATATATATCGTTGATTCAGGCTGCACACCTGTTTGAGGAGATATTTAAAATAGTCCTTTCCCGTAACGAGATGCTAGGAGTGTATCATAGCCAATTTTCACCGTTTCTCGTGGTAACCGAAGGTGAGCATTTGAACATTGGTGAAAATTTCCGCGTGAGTTCAGGTCTGAGTTCGAGAATAACCCAAGAAACTCGATATGTCCGGATAGATGAACATATGAACTTATCGTGATACGTATCGAAACAGAAACCACTAACTGATGGAAGATTCCCAGGAGAAAATCTCCGAATCGCTTTTTCTTGTGAAAATCCTTGTACCTTTTATATTTTCTCAAGGGGTGTGAGTTGTGTCACAAGGGACGTAATGTACGTTGGAAATAGTCCACAGGGTACTTTCGCCGCATAACTTTTCGAAGACGCAGGGCCAACTCTAAGGGCGGAAGACGGAGGAGGAATATGCTTGGGATGGGGAAGTGCGTGAGAGCACTGCAGTAAGCAGTGATCAGTCACAGGCGTCCACGGGTCCTCGTTGCGCATGCCCAGTAGGTATCACTCATCCCCCATGGCTGGAGCCGGCAGTGGCAGCATTGCTGCTTCAGTTCGTAGAGTGATCTTCGTGTGAGTAGGTGCGGCTCGGTCCATTTCCAGGATGTGTGATTTTACCGACTCTTAGCCATCTTTGACGATTTCCTGTTCCAGTGTGATTTAGTTTATCTCTGCCCTTTCGACGCATCCCGGAATTCGATGGATGGAATGGAATCCCTGGATTACAAGCCACTCACTGCCTACATGGTGGAGACTGAGCTCGATGACCTCTGGGATGGGGAAGATTTGGAAAAGGTAAAGAAACTTCATCCCATCCTGTATTCCTCTTTTCGGCTAGGAAGAACAATTTGCTTGCATTATGATGTTGGCGTCGCTCATGGTGTAAGAAAATATCATTATGATTTAGCGCTTGGCTCGGGTTCACGAGTCTACATCGGTTCTCCAAGGCCTACCAACGTTGGACTTTGTTTAGGCTCACATTAAAGTCTGTCTCCCGCAAAGTCGTGATCTTCACCTGGCTGATACTCTGAAACGTAATGTGGCCGAATGCAAATTAGGTCCCAAACTGCAAATGCATTGCATGCAAATTTTAATTTCCCCTTCCCCCCCCCATCGCGAAGGTTCACTTGCTCTATCAAAGTGAATCTGAAGTACCTGAGGTCACAAGGAGAACAACGAATCTAATATTGAGCTTCACGAGACCTCAGCCGTCTGAACCCCCAGGGAAACAGCTTCCTCGTGGGACATTGAGCCATTCCTCAAGCTAAGAACTTTTTATGCTTGACCCATAGAGCACGATCTCATATGTCTTGTAGATTAGAACTGGAGGAATGACTTCATTATGACGTTGTGAGAAGCAAGCTCAATAGCTCCTAAAAAGGTCTGATCGGTTGCATATGAGAAAGGTAGATTGAGTAACTTACGATCTCTTTCCAGTAGTGTAAAAAAAAAAAAGTAAAGAACGAATCGACAAGCATGAGGATGATTGGCAAGAAGATCCTCCAGGTAAGTATTGACTGTCACGGAACGAAGGTGGCTGAAGAGGGGAGAATGCCACAAAAGTACTCAAGGGAAGGAGGGTGCTTTCCACCTGTGGCTTTCCCACCTCAAATTGGGTTGAGAACGGAAGCAATAGAATGTTGGAACGAGAGTGAGTGAGGGAGAGAGAAGGCGATACAAAGTGACGCAATATCAGTACAGAAAAAGGCCTTGGAAACGAATTGCGTTATCAAGACGTGATTGTGGGATGCCGCTGCGATACAGCTCAATGGAAATGGTCGAAAGGTCTGTTCCGTGTCTGACACGAGGGAACAAACAACCGGAAGCACTCGACACATTGTAGTGTCACGACTCTTGTCAGGCATGGAACAGGGAATTCGTGTATCCAAGCCGTTGCTCAAGATCATGGATTGGAAATCTTCTATATATGTTTCTTAAATCGCGATTTCCCGCCGTGTTCCTGTTTCCTATGGATTTTCATTTTCTTATCAACGACTGCCGGGTCTTTGTGACTTCCCAGCGGCCTTCAAAGTTAGAGACCCGCGAAAGCGCCGAAGAAGCAGGATATGCTGTCAGAGGCGATAATAACGCTCCCGTCAAGGAGGCTTCCCTGGAAAAAACGTGTCTCTCATTCACAAGGAAGGCCAGGAGATATCTACTACCCTATCTTCTGAGAATGGGAGTTCCTGCTGGAAAGTCGGGGAATCTACTTGTGGGGAAAACCGTTCTCTGGAAAACATTTTCCAGAACCTACGCATCATAGCCAAGTAATCGAGACGTCACTGTCCTCTTTTGCAAGTACGGTCAGAAATGTTTTCCTAAGATCCATGCTGGGTAGCTGTGTGCAATCCAGGTGCATTCCGTCCAACCCCCTTACGGTTTCCCTCCCCTTTTTAGTTTTCACACAACAGATGCTTCTAATCGGTCAGGAAAAATCAGTGACCCGAGGAAATGAAGAGCTGAGAAGAGGCTGTTCTGAAAGGTGACTCCGGAGATAAAAACACGTGATAATAAGTGGCTTCTGGATCTGGAATGGGAAGGGGATTTGATGCGGCTTCCACGTATCCAGAAGTAGAGGAGGATTAAATCACCTTGAGTGGGTTTTTTTTTTTTTTTTTTTCTTTTCCGCGGTCGGTCGCACAAGTCGGCTTTGCGATCCATTGCGTCCATTCACAGGGAACGGTGCGTTTTGTAGCGCACGAGAAGTCCTCAGTAGTTTTTTCCTTTCTTCTTACGCTTCCAATGTTGGCGGAGTCGTTCACTTAGTGAAAGAGTTATCTTCTTACAATGCCCGCTTCATGCCCCATTAAAGGAGACACGAAACCCGGATCTCACCCATCATCTTCCTAATACAGTATTGTACTTCGTTGCATCTTG